CCTGTTCAACACTAGATTAAGTTGTAAGTTTTAGATAGCTTTTTGTAATATATACAAAAAGGAGTCATGCTTTCAAAAAGGAATGTGTCCTCCCAATACTTATTGAACCGTAATTATTGTTTCTCTGTGTATTCCCAGTGGATGTTCATATCACACCTACAAGGAGAAACCTGCCACCATTAACGCCTTCTCCAGTACAAAGTATGTGATATCTAAAAGTTATTTGCTAATTTAACACATCACTATAACAGTCAAAAAGCATCACTTTTTCTTGAATGTTTTAATCAACAGCTAGGCTGTCACACTTCCCGGAGGAAAGAACAGATTAGCCATCAAAAATAACTGTAAATGTATTACATGGAACTGTGCTATTTTTTATTTTTTTTTTGTTTTATAGAGTCATTATGGAGGAAATGTCACCTTTCTTTTGACAAATTTCAGTATTTTTAACACTTCATTTAGCAGGCATTCAAGATTTGATGCAAGATAGTTTGTTTGCTTTGATTTCAGATAGAAAAACTAACAACCAAAGAAAAAAAAAATCATAGCATGTTACAGTACAATTGGACAGTGAAATGCTCCTAAACTAACACGTACTACGTAATATTTCCATGAAGGACAACCTGCTCAGAGCCCGCTGGATCTCCAAATAAGACGGAGGCATAGGCCCACAACTCATAGCACGTTGCTGGTCACCCCCAGAAGTATGTCCCTGTGTCTTGAAATTTTTATAGTGTACTTCTGTATATTTAAGGGAAGTTGTTGCAAAGCTTTTTATAAACATATTCAATATTCCTTAGATAAAATGGTCCTTTTTCAATTACTACTTTTAATTTTTCCAACAGGATATTCACAACATAACACCAGTCGAGGTCGACATGATCAACACAGAATCCCTGAATCTTCACAGATGTTAAACCGTAGGTGCTTTATTTTAGATCTACTGTACTCATGTACAACTACAGAATTCTTATTTTCTTTTTTGCCCTGTAACAGGGCAAGACAAACAAAGTCTTGTCAAGTACAGAAAAAATTATTAGAAGAACTCCATGTTGCCCTGAAATGGCAGCTCCAGCATCTATAAATACGTGAAGTATAAGTTCTGATTTTGAATGTCTAGGTGACCCTTTTAAAACATTGTTGTAGTTATCAATAGTTTACATTGTTACTGGCATTTTATTGGTGCTGCAAG